ATGGGGTAAATTTTTGGAATCTCTTATAAAAGTTCTAACACTGATGCCTTGGTATGGGAATCATAAAATATGCAGTTGAAAAGAAGTACAGTATCTTTAAACGTGTACTTAAAAAGTATCTCAAGTAGATTTCATGATAGAACACATTTTTGGATTAGCCCTATTAGTTGCTATAAAGAACCTTAAATTCCATTAAGTACTATTGAAAAGGGGGAAGAAACTTATAACTGGGACATGCTTCTCACACACATGCCCAAAACTATAGAAACCCTGTCCCACCAGAAGTTTCAAGATGAAAGGAAACTTAGGTCTCCGGGAACACTCAATTTGTCGTCATAATGAAAGCTGAGTAGAGGTCACTCAGTCACTTCCTGTAAAACAGTGAATCAGGTCAAGATGAACCACTGGTCCAGGATCTTTACTGGAAACGTAAATCAACTATCAATATTAGAAACAGGTTGATTTGATGTAAAAAAAGAAAATACAAAATAAAATTGCTAAAAGATGGGGACTGTAGAACAGTCAACAGAATAAGAGGGGAAAAAAAGAGCTTCCCTTCCAAAATAATCTAGAATGATATTTTATTCTTAAATATTTAAAAATTTCATCTCATGTATTGATGTGCATTAAAGTTAGCTTGATACAGTAAATTGAAATTTAAAAATTCTCTTTTAAGTCAATCAACAAAAATATTAGAGGGAAATATTCCTGAATAGTAGAAAAATAAGACAAACTTCTTAGTGCTTCTAAAATTAAGAGTCTCATAGAAAAGTGGACATGTTCTTGAGGGAAGATGGATGTTTCCGGTATTTGTAGAGTAAACTGATTTATGATATTGCAAACAATAACAGAAAACATTCTTAATCCTTAATGAATTAGGTGGGTCAACCTGGCAGAAGACTGTAACCCTATAAAGTCTTTATAAGGAAGAAATGTAGATTGAGTTTTTAATCCAGTTAGAATTATGTAGTTTTAGAGCTAAGGTTGCTTTTTAAAGAAATAAAAATAGTTCATAAAGAACTGATCCTGAGCATTTAAATAAAACTGGTTCACTTGCAGATTCTTATGGCATTTTCTCTAGAGTAAGTTTACCTACCACCAGTTACCTACTACCAGTTAAATGTATCACCACTCTTTTCATCAGAGGTTGAGAAAGAATTAAAAATGCCAAGAGAAACTTGAAATAACCTGGATGTGATGATTAATTTTAGGTGTCAAGCTGTCTGGATTAAGGATTACCTAGCAACCTGGTAAAACATTATGCTGTGGTGTGTTGTGAGGTTGCTTTCTGAGGAGATCAGCACGTGAATCTAAGTGGCCTAGGTGGGGAACATTCACCCTCTCAATGTGGACAGGGACCATCTAATCTTCTGAGGATCCAGCGAGAACAAAAACAGAGAAAAAGTGAATGCGTGCATCTATCTGGTGGGACTGGGATACACTCTTCCTCTGTCCTTAGATATCAACTTCAGTCTCCTTGTCTTTGTACTCCAGGACTTACACTTGCAGCTTCCTGGGTTCTGAGGCCACTGGCCTTGGAGTGCAAGTTTTATCAACACCTTCCCTGGTTCTGAGGCCTTTGGACTTGGACTGAAAAACCATGCTGCCTGCCTCCCAGGGTCTCCAGCTTGCAGAAGGCCTGTTGCAGGACTTAGCCTCCATCACTGGCTCACGCTAATCACCCAGTAAGTCCCCTGTCACAATCTATCTATATCTACATCTATATTTATATCTATCTGTATCATCTATATCTATATCTTTTATTGATTCTGTGACTCTGGGGAACCCTGAGTAATATACCGGGGTATTAGAGTATGTAAATGTTTGTGCATACACACAAACAAACAAACTTGTTCATGCTTTTTAAATCAAATGACATACATTTCAAATGTAATAAAGATGTCTAAATTGACTTCTCCTTTAGCGAGATCTCACAAGAACAATGAGCAAAATGTAGGAAAATATTATCTTCGCTGTCATTTGACATACCCATCAAACGAAAAAAATTGCTCAGCTCTAACTCTTATCAATCGAATCCACACAGCAGATCTGTCTAACCCATTTGATGTATTGGATTCCTTTGCTAAAACTGGACCAAGATAATGTATTTTGTATTCATATAGGAAACAAACATTTTAAAGGCATACTTAATTGTGGACTATAAAACACTACAGTCTACTACTCCATCAATATATGCATTGTTTTCTAAGGTCCGGAGCAACAATGGTACAAAACATCTAAGGAGTACAATCAGGATGAATAATTTAAGTTAGTATCTTTATTTCTACAAGGTATCAAGGCACTGTATTAAAAAAAAAAAAGTAGATCAAAATTCTAGATGAGTATTTTCAAATGTCAAATAAGATAATATATGGTAAATTATTTTGTGAGCATTCAATTATATATCCATTTTTAATTAAAATAAATCTTAAAATATTTGTTATACACTCCAATTGCCTTTCGTGATAGCAGATTCTATATTTACTAGTCTTCATCCTTCCCTATGCTTCCATGAAAAAGAAGGCAGTAGGAAGAAGGAGAAAAGGGAAGAAAAAACATTCTAAAATGAAATATGGCAATGATTTATGTGGTGGGAAAATTAGTCTGTTCTACATCTTTAATGTCCTATTTCTACATATTCCACCACATCAGAGCTTTCCATAATTGTTTGAACAATCTCAGAGTAGACTAAATAATTCAAATATGTTGTTACTTTCGTAACTATTAAGTGTTTATAAGACTTCTCCAAATTATCAATTGACAAAATATATTTCAGAACTATACTTTTAGTTAATGAATATGCTGGAAGCTGTGAAAACGAATTTCTTTCAGGTTATCAGTCTTGCTGAGTACTTATTTGTTGCCTGAAAGGGTTTTGACTCTGTCAGTTTCATTTATCTGCACTAACCCTAGAAAGAAGACAAATATATTTATATATCTCAATATCTCAATGTTTCCCTCAAATTACTTTCAGTGTGACTTTATTTCCTTTAGGGACTTTTTCTTTTCCCACTCTGAAATAATAGAGGCTAGCCGCTTAACACTTGGATCAAATAGAAATTCTACGCTTTTAAAATTCTCATACTCCACACAAGTTCTATTATAGTCAGAAAACTTTGCTTCTTATCCTAGCTCTACAGTTTCTAATTGTGTGGTCTTGGGCAGGTTGTTAAACTTGGCCTTTGCTCTCTGGAATATAGTTCCTATAGTTATAGAATTTCTAGAACATATAATTTTTAAGTACTTTTCATTAAAAATGTTCTGACTTATAAATTATAGTGCTTCATGCTCTGAAGCAAGAATCCATCCATTTCAACTTTCTGTCATTATGACAGGGCTTAAAATCCACATTGTGAATGTAGTGGTCCTAATTGTGGAATAATTCCTAAGAAAGCACTGAAGGTGTTGGCTAATATAATTGGTCAGAACAGTTAATTGAGCCTTACACACATTTACAATAGGAGTTGAAATCTATGTTTGCCATTCTGTATAACCGAGGACTGATTTCAGTATCACAGAAATTATAAAAATCTAAAACTATTGGTACACTTGTCAAATTGCAGTGAAATCAAGTGACTACCACGTTGCTGATTATGGAATTACCTTACTTAGAAAAGGAAAGTGCCATAACAATATTAATACCTATGTTTTGATAATTAAAAAAATTTTAAATGCAGATAACCAGCTACCATCGACTAAAGTCAGTGTACTTTGAACAACATGAAGTTCAATGAACAGTTTTAAACCACTGAAATGAATAACCACACTTCAGATATGAATGGATTATAACATGTTAGAAATGTGCTGATCATAATTACAGTTAAGGAGGGGAAAGGTCCCTGGCTGGAACATCTTACTGAACTTCCACTGTCTCACTGAAGCTATCTACAGGTCATTAAAATCCCAGGTAGAATAAGAAAGAAGGAACAGTGACGTGTGCCTGACTCAATTAGATACAATGGGAGAAATTTGGATGGCAAAGAAGTTAAAACAAGATTAATACAAGAGTGAAATAATTTTGACACATTTGCTTCCTGTCATTTATGATATTTACACTTAATAAAATATGTTGGATCTCAAGATGTAACTTCAAGAGAATCATGAATTTCTCTCCAGATTAGCATACTGCAAAGCTGACAGTTGCCTCCAGATGGATGATGTTACATGGGGTTGGATTCACAGCTCCACCAATTAGGTTCCTTGAGAGTCACAGCAAGTGAGTACTGAGCACTTACTATGTGCCCTGACACTATGCTAAGGCTCTTTATCCATGATTTCCTTTAATCCTCAAAAATCTCTATATGAAGTAAGTGCTGTTGAGAAAGCAAACTGTCAGAAGGGAAACAAAGCTGAACTTTTGTCAAAGTTTATGACACTAGCAAGTGGTGGAAACAAGACATCACTGGAAACTTTTTTTCTCTTTGTTACCAATACAGCTGCTGCCTCCTGTATTGAGGCTCCTTATCATTGCAAATTTCCAAATAACGAAAATATGGAGGTCCTACAGCCTTCAGGCTTGTTTTCTCCAGGCAAAACCACAGGTAAATCAACTTCAACAGCAAATTATTACCGTCCCTGTGTTCCACCTTTATCACACATGGCTCTCCGGCATACAATAATAAAGTTCTCTCTGGCACTACTTCTCTAACTGAAAACCTAGGTACCTTTCTGCTTTGGTTCCCTGCACCTACCCAATTAAGAACTCTTATAGACACAATTTAACATTAAAATATAGATAAAATGAAACTTTTATCTACAATAATTTCTTCTCAGCATAAGATGAAAATAACTGTTAGCTTGCTTAGATTGCAGCTCCCTGACACAGTAGGGCCTGTGACTGACAGACACCATTTGCAAGATTCGCCTGGCAGAGGAGGTGCTATGTCATGAATTAGCCTGGAAGTCATTTTATTTTGGAGGTCATTTCAGTTAGATATTTAAGAATAAGACAGAAAATATTTTTTTAAAATTGTAAGTATATTGAAATTATGATTTCTGACCTGGATCTGTTGCTGGAGCAAATTGATTTTGTGTTGTTGCTGCAGAAGCTGCTGCTGTTGTCTTGCAATCTGTGAAGAAATTGCACATGAGAAATTTACAAGTATATTGGAGTCCGGGAGGGAAGTTACTAATGTTCTGTTTCACAAAGTTTGATTTGACACTGATTAAGATGATGAAAATAGATGTGTCTGTGCTCTGAAATTTTCCACAGTTCATCCTAAGATCAAGGAAGATATTTAGTCTTTAGGAACAGTTATGTTTCTTTTGGCCTAAAACAAATGAAGACTAAGATACTAGGACAGTCAGTGATCAATCCCAGAAAGAAATGTCTGATTTTCAAACATTCCTCTTTCTGGTGATATATTAAGAAAGGTGCTGCTTCTGACATTTTCAGCCTTTCACTATGACACAGTGCTTCACAAATGGGGAGGGGGAGGTTTAAGACAGGAGTTCAGAGTAGCACAAAGTATTGCAAGACACTGTATTTATTAGTAAAGTTTTTGTATTTTTTTGTTTGTAGGTAAATAATTTTCTTATTACTGCCTCTCACAAACCCCTAACCACCAACTCAATGCATACTACTGTGGTTTCTGCTTCCATGTCTCTACCAAAATGATTCTTAAGAAGGTTGCCAATCACATCCATTATTTTAAAATTCTGAAGCGTTTTTCAGTTGTCACCTTTTGACCTCTCATTAGAATTCAACACTCAAATGCTTTCCCCTGATCATGAACTTTATCTGTTGGCTTCTGTGACATCATCATACTTCCCTGGTTTCATCTTTACCTCTCATGTCTTCTCCTTAGTCACCTTTAATGGCTCTTTCCAGACATTAAATGTTATAATTCTCTGAGACTCAATTTTAGACTCTGTTCTTTCCCTTCGTACTTACTTCCATATGTAAGCCAAGTGCTTCTAAATTTGCTTCTCTGGTCTAGACCTTTGTTTTAAGCATCAGGTCCGTTTATTGAGAGACTTATTCAAAGGAACCTCAAGTTCAACAAGCCCCAAACTAAATTTGAGATTTAGCCTTCCATATAGTCATCTTAAGTATTTCCTAACTTAGAGAACAGGACAATCACTTCCCACTCCCACTGTTATTTGCATTTATGACACCTTCTACATTTACTTAATATTACGCCCATGCTATGACTTTATATTTGTTTATCTATTTGTTATTAACATATTTCTGTCTCCTAGGGAGAAGTGCATAAATTCAGTGAGGGTAGAGGCCATGTATATTTTACCCACTGTTCTCAGCAAGTCCATTATAAAAGCAATGCTGAATGGATATCTGATAAGAATGCATGAATGGATGACATGAAAATTGCAAATATTTCATCACATGGGATAGGATGTAACTTCTAACATCTTGAAACTTATCAGTCTCTTATAAATAAGTTCTAGATCCCATTCTCATCAAGTAATAGTCACTAACATTTTTATTTTTAAAAAAATCTCTTAACCTCTATACCCAAAAGTCAAAAACTCAGGAAAAAACTCACACATCACCGTGAATAAAAGAACCCATGTGATAACGATGAGTCTACATGGCTGCACAAAAAAATGTATTTCCCTATGGATGTTGATATAATTATAATTATTTTAATGCTTTAATTTTATCTTTGGAATATAGTAAAAAAAAAATACATTTTTTTATTTCTTTTTTCTTTTCTTTTCTTTTTTTTTTTTGAGACAGAGTTTTGCTCTTGTTGCCCAGGCTAGAGTGCAATGGCGTGATCTCGGCTCACTGCAACCTCCGCTTCCTGGGTTCAAGCAATTCTCCTGCCTCAGCCTCCTGAGCAGCTGGGATTACAGGCATCCACCACCATGCTTGGTTAATTTTTTTGTACTTTTACTAGAGACAGGGTTTCACCATGGTGGCCAGACTGGTCTTGAACTCTGACCTCAGGTGATCCACCCACCTCGGCCTCCTAAAGTGCTGGGATTACAGGCGTGAGCCACCGTGCCAGACCCACAATTTTTTTTTTTTCTGAAGGAAGTGGTAAAGGAGACAGTAGAAGGAAGATTACCTTTCTCATTAAGTCTAGTTCCTTCCTCCCACATATCAATATTTCAATTGCTTTTTGCTCCTGCTCCCTATAGTCAATCACAGACCAGCATCTTGAGAGTACTTTTTAAAATATGAGTCCACTTTGAGAGGCTGAGGTGGGCAGACTGCGAGGTCAGGAGTTCGAGACCAGCCTGGCCAATATAGTGAAGCCCCGTCTCTACTGAAAATATGAAAAATGAGCCAGGAATGGTGGAGGGTGTCTGTAATCCTAGCTACTCAGGAGGCTGAGGCAGAATCTCTTGAACCCAGGAGGCGGAGGATGCAGTGAGCCGAGATTATGCCATTGCACTCCAGCCTAGGTGACAGTGTGAGACTCTGTCCCCCAAAAAACAAAAAAACCCATATATATATTTATATATATATAAAACATATAAATATACATATGGTTTATATATATATAAAATATATAAATATATATACGTGTGTATATATATATATCATGTCATGCTATTCATCTTTCCAAAACACTTCTCTCTCACTCAGCAAAAAGCTGGTGTGAATATAATGCCTGCAAGGCCCTATATGTTATGGCCTCGTGCTACCTCTCTGATTTCATCTCCTCCCCTTTCACCCTCATGCTTGCCACATTGCATTCCTAACTGCCTCTTGTACACACCAAGGATGTTCCTGCCTCCCAAGGATACTCCTGCTTCTGGGCCTTTGCACTTACATTTCGCTCTGTCTCGAATACTCTGCCTAGACAGCCCCATGGCTCACTCCCACACCTCCTACAGGTTTCTGCTCAAATGTTCTCAGTCAATAATGTCTTCCCTGAGCACCCATTTTAAAAGAACATATTCCCATAGATAATACCCTCATCCCCAATGCCCTGCTTAATTTTTCAACATAATACTTATCAACATATAGTTTACTGGTTTATTTATTGTCTACCCCTCCCAGCTGGATTTCAGTACACAAGGGATTTTTGTCTGTTTTATCCCCCTACTCTACTCCCACTAACTAGAACAAAACCTGGCACCAAATTGGTGGTCAATGAATATTTATCTAATAGATGAACGTGGAATGGAGCTCAGAATCTGAGGGAAAGGCTTGTCAGTAAACAGGTCCTTTAGCTTTTGTAACAGCTATACCAGCAGTATTAGAATGCACAGAATGGAGACATTCTACACTCAGTAGGGAGTGCTGGGAGGAGCGTCAGAAAAAGACTTTGCAGGAGAAGATGAACCTGCCCTGACCCTTAAAGAATAAGTATTAAATGCCCTTCATGAAAAGATCTGCCACCACAGAGTGGTAACTGTGCATGCCTGCTATGTATGGTAGAGAAGCGCTGGGAGAGCTGAATGGGCTCTAGAAACATGTCCTGTAGCTATCACCAGGGATCTTCTCCCAGGCTGTAGAGGCAGCACTGCAGGACGTCTCTCCAACACAGGAGAGAAATTCTTGAAGAACCTAGGGGTTTGTAAAGTTCCAAGGAGAATGTCAGAGGTCTTGGGAAAGTATTAGAATCAAAGGATTCTAGAATCCTTTTATAATATTCAGGGATGGGCTAGAATGTGAAAGAGATAACAAAGAAACTTCCTCTCCATCAGTCATTGCTTAGATCTTTCAGGACATGTGTGCCCTCAGACCCATCAAAGCAAATAGGGATTATTTACAAAAAAATATCCCCAGCCAAGCTACATTTTCAGAGGCTCCTAGGATTCTCCAGAATTCAGTTGATTGAAAGATTGAGAGTTAAGGATAAGAAAAGAGTGGTGTTTTTTTTATGCTGTTACAGGCAAGCATTCTGAACTCTTTTCTCATAGGGATAAAGCAAGAGGCATATGGGCCGTATCCAAAAGCAAGCCAAATATATCTTTAATGAAAGTGATGAGGCATTTCATTAAAAATAAAACTAACATCTTTTCACAGACATAAACCACCAAGTAGAGAAGAGTAGAATGGAAATAAGAGGGTAGAAAAAAGGAGCTCCTCAAACATAAACTGAGTATTTCTTCATGCCATTCAATCCTGCTGGCTTATACTATGAAAGATGTTTAGACGGTTTTGCAGGGATGTGTAGACACACAAATATTAAATAGTGGCCATCCTCCACTTGGGGCGGTGAATGGACTATGCCCAGAACATGGAACAGGAAAAGGACTTAGCCATGAAAAAGAGGGCCATACTTACCTGTAAGCTGAAACTGTGTCACCTCCCCTCTATCTTATCTTCTATTTACTACCAATTTTTTTTAACTAATAGTTCATAGGCATTGCCTCCATTTTTCTACTACGTATTTTCCAGTTTTTATTGTCTGATTTTGGCTACTAAAACACTGTAGAAGTCTTACTCTTCAAGGCCAACAATGAGAATCTAAATGAAAAATCTAGTAGTTTCAATTTCATATTAGAATGACTACTTTTCTGTAGCATTTAACACTGCTCCCTGTATCTCTCCTTAAAAGTCTCCATTTTGTTTCCTATGACATTGCACTCCTGGCCCCACTTCCATATCTGATTCTTTCCGCATATGTTCATTTTCCTTTCTCTGCCAGCTCTATAAGCCAGTATCTCCCAAGGATCTACCCTTAGTTCCTTTCTGCTTTCTTGTAATATTACCACTATAAATTAAGGCCTATAAGCCTGCCACATCTCTGCATAAAACACTCCTGTCCCCGATATTAACATGGCTGCCTTTTGTATGTCATTTAGATCTGAGCTCAATTGCCAAAGCTTCAGAAAGATCTAGCCGCCCAATCTAAGAAGCATTGCCTTGTCATAGCAATCAACTTTTATCTTATTACTCTGTTTATATTTTTTCAAATTATTTATCACTATATAATATCATTTTGTTAATTTATCTGTTCCTTTATATGTCTCTTTCTTTCCACTAAAATTTAGGGGCTTTGTCAGTAATTAGTTAGTACAGTGCCTGGCACATAAGAAGCACTAGATTACTATTTGTCAAATAAATGAATGAATGTTATCTCCTCCAGTAGAGTTTAAACCACTATTTCTCTGTAAATAACCTAAGAAACACCTGAGCTCTCTTCCAAAGTGCTGATTGGTGTTTCTAGCTGTCTCTCACATACCTCCAACTGGAAACCCTGACAGCAGCTCTAATTCAACATCATAAAACCACTCTCTTTTCCAAACTTGCTCTTCTGACTTTCTCTGTTTCCGGTGATGGCATTCTCCATCTCCCTATCACTAGGCTCAACACTTTCCCTTTCTTTCCCTTTTGCCTACTCAAAGAACTCTACTAACCATAACTCTTCCACCTGTTTATTCCTTTCATCTCTTTGTCCATGGTCATTACCCTGACTAATTTAGCTTCTCACTCTTTTTAATTTAAAGTATTATAATGACCTTGTAACTGAACTTCCTGCCCCCAGCTGAAAACTCACTTTACTTGTTGAAGCCCACAAGTTCTTCAAAGCATATCTCAAATGTCAGCTCTCTCATGAATTCTTTCAAAATGTTTCTTGTTGAAAATGTTCTCTTGACTCTCCATGGTTCTTTTATGATAGTTTTCTCATGATTTATCAGAATTGACCTTGATTAAAATTACTTCTGCGCTCCTTACCACCAAAGTAGTTAATAAGCTTCTTAAAATCTGGGTTTTGTCTGTGGGTGGGTTTTTGTTTTGTTTTTGGCCTTTTAATTTATTTAACGAGGGAGGTGGAAGGCACTCTTACTCATTGTTGTGTGCCTAGGACAGTGACCTATAAGTAGCAGGCAAAACAATGTCTGAGGAGTTTGATTGCGTCGCTAAGTTCTTACTCACCTGTTCTTGTTGCTGCTTGGCCAGCTCCATTTGCTGACGCTGTTTCTCAATCTGAGAGGCAGCTAGTTTCTTCTGCTCATCGTGGGCAGCCAACAGCTGCTCTCGTAGGCTGGTCAGCTGGTTGATCATGCCCATGAGTTGCCTTTCTTTCTCAGCTAAGCTCTCGGGAGTCCCTACAAATCACATGGCAATAAAACAGACAAAATGCATGAGAAAAAGTAATGATTTCAATGAAGATGGCTCTGTTGCATACAGAGCTAGTCCAAATATAAAGTTCAATAAACACAAAAACACTACCTACCTTGTTTTACATTTTCACGCAACAGTAAAAAGTGATGGCAGTTTGCCCATTACAAAATACCACAATGAACCTGGCTCTCTGGCACAATAGATAGCACATTGGGCTTCTAACAAAATACCAGAATGACCAAACATTTTGAATGTTTTTACATTTATGACCAGTAATAATCTATAGTTTTTTTAACTTTTACTTTATAAGTAAATTTTTTTAAAATGTTGGCTGACCGTCCAGTTTTTAATGTTCTATGCTAGGGCCTGCTGGAAATAAAAAGATGTCCAAAGTACAGTTCTTGGCCTTAAGTACCATAGTTTTTCATATAATTAAAGAGGGAAGACAAAGACATAAAAAACTAACAGCCACAGTTATTAAGAGTTCAAAGCATTCATATTAGTGATATGATTCTCCCTTTCTTTAAAAAAAGTTAAAGATTCAGAACTAAGAAATTCTATGTTAAAAAAGAGCAAACATCTATTTAGATAATCAAGATTTAGACTGTATTCCCCATATGCCAATTCAGAGTCTATCTTCAAAAATAAAATATAGTTAACTGAGCAAATACTTAAGTTTGAGAACACAAATACAGCAATCGTGAGATAATGTGGTTGGCAAATTAGCATCACATTATGGTCATGCAAGCTAATACATAAATCCAAGATTTGGAGAAGTCATGGTAATCATTTAAAATACATATTACACTCAAAATATTTAAAACACGCCAAGGAATCTTATTAAGTTAAAATGCATATTTAATATAAGGGAAATGTGTGCGGTTCACTGTAACAGAAACAGTATCATGTTTAATTGTTCTTTTAGAACTCACAAGATAGACAAGGCCCCTATGATAAAGTACTACCAGTAGGAAAGAACACCCTCTTTAATTACAATTTTCACTTTAAACATAAGACACTATGCACTGGTTTACTACTGCATTTGCCACCTGTATACATGTATAGATAGAAGGATCTGTTATAACTCAGTCACCCTTCTTAACCCTACCAGTTTAGGCTGAAATGGTTTGTTCTATTTGAGGAAGTAGCAGCTATAGTTAGTAGCTTATAATTTTTATATGCCCTTTTGGAATAGAAAGAAGGGTTCTAACGTATTTTACACATAGCCTAGAGAACAAATATTCAGAAAAGAAAATGTGTGAGTAAGGCAGTAACCATCTCTTATGCTCTTTCTTATTATCAATGCCTATCCTTCTTCAAGGCAGGTGGTCAATAATGTGTTGCTAATACTTTATTATATCTCAGATATTTGGATTCCATCAGAATGAATGAACGTTAACTCTATGAATAGTCACATGACTATTATATTCTAATATTAAATAATATAAATATATCCTGTGAAGATTTATTTAATGAAAATATTCATATGCTAGCAAGATAAAGATCTTCCTACATTGTTAATACAGAAGTAGGCCGGGCGCGGTGGCTCAAGCCTGTAATCCCAGCACTTTGGGAGGCCAAGACGGGCGGATCACGAGGTCAGAAGATTGAGACCATCCTGGCTAACACAGTGAAACCCTGTCTCTACTAAAAAATATATAAAAAAACTAGCCAGGCGAGGTGGCAGGTGTCTGTAGTCCCAGCTACTTGGGAGGCTGAGGCAGGAGAATGGCGTAAACCCGGGAGGCGGAGCTTGCAGTGAGCTGAGATCCGGCCACTGCACTCCAGCCTGGGCGACAGAGCGAGACTCCTTATCAAAAAAAAAAAAAAAAAAAAAGAGAAGTAAATTTCTAACACATTTCAAGGAATAAACACTAGGAATAGCAATACACATCATGTCTTAGAATGCGCATAACCTACAAAGGATAATTCTGCTTTTAGAAATCTAGCCCAAGGCTGGGTGCAGGAGCTCAGGCCTATAATTCCAACGTTTTGGGAGGCCCAGGCAGGAGGATCACTTGAGGCCAAGAGTTCAAGACCAGCATGGACAACATAGCAAGACTCCATCTCTACAAAATTTTTCTAAAAAATTAGCTGAGCATGGTGGTGTGCACTTGTAATCCTAGCTACTTGGGAGGCTGAGATGGGAGGATCACGTGAATCCAGGAATTTGAGGTTGCAGTGAGATACACTGCATAAAAAAAAAAATTCTAGTCCAAAAATATCTTAAGAAATGTGGGTTAAATACTAATTATTTTATTTTATTTTATTTTATTTTTGAGACGGAGTCTCGCTCTGTCGCCCAGGCTGGAGTGCGGTGGCCGGATCTCTGCTCACTGCAAGCTCCGCCTCCCGGGTTTACGCCATTCTCCTGCCTCAGCCTCCCAAGTAGCTGGGACTACAGGCACTCGCCACCTCGCCTGGCTAGTTTTTTGTATTTTTAGTAGAGACAGGGTTTCACCGTGTTAGCCAGGATGGTCTCGATCTCCTGACCTCGTGATCCGCCCGTCTCGGCCTCCCAAAGTGCTGGGATTACAGGCTTGAGCCACCGCGCCCAGCCTAATACTAATTATTTTAAATGAAATTCTAGAAACAACCTAAATGTCAAAGAAGAATAATCAAATAATTATGGGTCATCCATGGTAAAGTATTTTGCAACCATAAAAAATTATTTTTGAAGAAAATTTAATGATGTGGGATCTAGTTTATGATATAAAGCTAGGTTTAAAAGCAGTTGGAGAGAAATGAAACATGTGTATAGTCACTCAATGCATGCACATGTCTATGTTTAAGATATGAAAGCAAATTTAGCTACATATTAATAGTAGCTATTTCTAAGTGGTGGAATTATGGTTCATTTTAATTTTTTTATTCTTTTTTTTTTTGAGATAGAGTCTTCTTCTGTCACTCAGGCTGGAGTACAGTGGCGCAATCTCGGCTCACTGCAACCTCCGCCTCCGGGGTCAAGCAATTCTCCCACCTCAGCCTCTCGAGTAGCTGGGATTACAGGTGCACACCACAATGCCTGGCTAATTTTTTTGTATTTTTAGTAGAGACGGGATTTCACCATGCTGGCCAGGCTGATCTTGAACTCCTGACCCTGTGATCCACCCGCCTTGGTCTCTCAAAGTGCTGGGATTCATATTTTTGTATTTAGAAATTTTTCCACAATGGTTATCATTACATTACTTCCATACTCAGAAAAAACTTATTTCACCTCAACATGCGGAAATATAATTTAAAAGCTTAAGCAAATCAGCACATACTCAACACCTACAGTTGGTCCTGTACAACCCACTTAAGTTAGCCCTCTGCATAGGTGGGTTTCACATTCCATGAATACTGTATTTTGGATCTGTGTTTGGCTGGGAAAAAAATCCACATACAGGTGGACCTGGACCTGTGGCATTGTAGCCTGTGCTGCTCAAGGGTCAACTGTATATATTTGGTGATGAGAATTAACAAATATCATTTTGTCATTAAGTGTGTGAAAGATTAACAAAATTATTTGTTTGTTTTTACTTAGTCATAAAGACATAAATAAGATTTCAAATTTAAAACAAAATTTCTAATTTTATAGTCCATATTCATATCAAACTTTTTGAACCTTCAGCCCATCTTGCTGCATCTTAAGCATTCTCACACAACTTCCTAGACACGATTTCATTCCATTTCAACTCCTACTTAACTAACTTTTCTTCTCAATCTTTTTCACTGACTCTTCTGTTGCCACCCATAAATGCCCATATCCTCCCCAGTCCAGTCCCATTCTTTACCTTTTCTGGCCTTGAACTAACATACTTCAACCTCTAAGCACTATATTTCAACAATGCTTAGCATACTTTAACCTCTTGAGTTCTAAAATACATAGTTTCATAGTCAATGAAATAATAAGGTACGTGCCAACCCTAAGATTGTCCCCCAGTCCTATTAGCTTATTTTTAGATGCAGAATGGGGTATCTCTGAGGGTGTATCTCAGTCATAAAATTCAACATGCATAAAGTGAAAGTCACCATTTTCCTGTAATTTTAAAGCATTATCACCAATCAGCATTCTAAAATATTAATGTCTTCAATTTCCTTCTCAACTACCCATCCCTGCATTGATATTAATCAATCACAGTAATTTTTCCTCAACATAGGTTTGTTTTCCCTTTAATTAAAATTGTATGTTTCAATATTATTATGTTCATATTAGTAAATAATGATGATAAATGTGTATAGTAAAAGATCTGCTCCCAACACTGCCCCTTCAAAGGTAACCACTATTATTAATTTTTGTGTGTATTATCCTCGATAACACAGATTTAAGCATATACAATAATATTTCTGTATTAGTTTGCCAGGGCTGCCGTAACAAAGTACCACAGACTGCATAGTTTAAAAGACAGAAATTGCCTTACAGTTCTGGATGCTAGAAGTCTAAGATTAAGTTGCCAGCAGGGTTGATCTGTTCCAGGCCCCCTTCCTTGGCTTGTAGATGTCTGTCTTCTCCATATGTGTTCACATCATCTCGATCTGTACATACCCATGTCCAAATTTCCTTTTCTTACAAGGATACCAGTCATCTTGGGTTAGGACCCACCATAATAAACTCATTTTAATTTAATTCCCTTTGTAAAGATCCTATCTCCAAATATGTTCATATTCTGATGTTCTAGGCATGAGGACTTCAACATATGAATTAGGGTTGGTGGGTAGGGGAAGGTGGATAGTTCAACCCATAAGAATGCCTTTTAAGCAAGTGATAACATAAACACTGTTGTACTGACTTAGAGAGAGCTCTTGTTCCAGCCTCCCTTCTCTATCTTCACTGCCATTTTTGTCAACTTTTTTCACGAATTTTTGTAGCAAATTTTTAAAATAGAACTTTTAAAATAGAACTTCCTGCCATCAATTGATCTCTGTACAAATCTATGCTCTAAAACTGGTACCAAAATTACCTTCCTAGATAACAAAGTCATGTCATGTCAAAGTCTAGTCC